TTTTATCGAGTCCAAAATCCAGCGCAGGTTTGTCACGGCCTGGTCTTATTTTGAAAGGTCGGACAGGAAATCCTGTTTATTTCCTTGTCAGTGTCTGCTGCTGACGCAGGAGTGACCGCTCAGTCAAGGAGTGAGGAGGCTGGGCTGACGCTCGGCCAGTAACACTGCTGCTGCAGCAATGATGCGGTTTATTGTGGAGTGTCGGAGGACGCTGCGAGCCAGAACCCCCAAGGATGGAGGGTAAAACAGCAACACTTACTCTCTGCGCTCAGTGCTCATTTCTGTCGTAATGTAGACTCCAGAAGACTGACACATGTTTCTCCAGTCCTTAGGCAAGTAGTTTGTAGTAGGCTTTTATAATATCATATACATAACTGTAACTATGTATATGGCATGTCCTGACATACTTACCCAGATGTACAGGATGTGAAAATGCTGACACGTGATGCTCTTTGTTTTTGCACATGTAAAAGCGGAGCGGGATGTGGAGACGACTTTGGCAGATCAAAGTGAAATTAATTGTACTAATTTAATGTTCCTGGTGATAAATAACCCACTAATGCAACGCTTCAGTTTTCTAGTAGCTGGTAGTCGCTACAACAACAGCATTGTAATAGTTTTAGCAGCAGATTAAGATTGAGAATAAAAAGATATCTAATTTTGACATACTCATAATTGTGTGTTTGAATCCACATAAAACAAAACAACTGGAACACTTACAAGTAGGGCTGGGTTTGGATTATCTATTTATCGATTAAAATCGATTCTAGCTTGGATAACGTGTAGGGCTGGGTATCGTCACTGATTTCTAGAATCGATTCAATTCCGATTCACAAGGTCCCGAATCGATTCGATCCACGATTTAATTCGATTCGATTTGATTCAATTCGATTTGAATCTGGGAAATTTTGACAGTCAGAAATATTATAATTCAGATCAGCACATTTACATATTTTTGTATCTATGAAAAGGAAGCTGACACATGCAAGACTTTATCAAAGGTGTGAGCATCACAGCAGATGCCTTTGTGTCAAAGTAGCTGAAGATAAAACACAGAAAAACATGAAGGTGATTTTCCTGGCCTGGATTTTATAAAAATATTCTGCAGTACATCAAAAACGAAAGAAAACCATTAATCAACATATGAACATCTACCTCTGAAGTTACAGCGGTTTTATTAGAGACACAGCGTTTTGCATTTTGCATAATTTTAAAAAGTTTAAATTTGTTCAGTATTGAACGGCAGAAATGAGGTTTTCTTTTCGGAAGTAAGTAAAAGGAAAAAAACAGCGGCCGACAGCCTGTAAACAACGGTAGACTTGTGCGTAACAAGCAAGCGAATAATGCAGAAAACAGATTTTTAGACGGGAAACTGTTCTTGAGAGAGAGAGAGAGAGAGAGAGAGAGAGCTGTGCATGAAGTGAGATTTTATCCTGGTGGAAGCAAAACAGTAAAAGTCAGAGTGAGTTCATGACGATGTTTATGTGAAGCGTAGTTTGGATCTTCTTTTGCTGCTGGTTCGTCAATATTGTTTGGAGAGAGATCAAACTAACAGCTTTAGAATCAGCGCAAAAGGGCGTGAACACAAAGCGCGGACCCGCCGACAGATCAGAATCAGCGAGCTGTCGGCTTTCAGCCCCGACTGTGAGAAAGGCGACATCTCACTGATTCTGATCCGCAGGTTGCGCTGTGTGTTTAAGTCTTTGTGCAGAATCTGTGTTCCTGCTCTCATTTACTGTCTTAGCTGTTTGGTGGTTGTTGAAATTTTGTGAGGTTTCACCAGAGATTCTGGCATTTCGGGCAAAATAAATTTATATTAAAAAATCGATTCAGGATTTTAATGAATCGATTTTACGTTATCCAAGCCAGAATCGATTTTAATCGATAAATCGATTATAAAAACCCACCCCTAATAACCTGATATCGATTCATTAAAATCCTGAATCGATTTTTAAATTTATTTTGTCCTCAGATTAAACCTCAGAAAATTTCAACAACCACCAAACAGCTAAAACAGTGAAGGAGAGCAGGAACACGGATTCTGCACTGAGACGTAAACACAAAGCGCGAGCTGATTCTGATCCGTCGGCGGCTCCGCGCTTTGTGTTTACGTCCTCTTTGCGCTGATTCTGAAGCTGCAGGTTTTATCTCTCTCCAATATTGACTGAACCAGCAGCAAAAGAAGATCCAAACTACGCTTCACATTTCGCTTCACGCAAACATCGTCATGAATTCCCTCTGACTTTTCCTGTTTTGCTTCCACCAGGATAAAATCACACTTCAAGAAGGCCAGGCCCACATTCATACCAAAGGTGGTCTGTCGGGTTGAGATGAGCGCTCATTCTTCTCACTGTGCAAGTTCTTCCACACCGAACTCACTCGTCTTTACGCAACCTGCTATGCCCACATTACTCTCCAATGCATCTATCAGAATATGAATGTGTGTGAATATTAGATAGACCACTGTAGTTGCAGTCATGGACAGCAGCACAAAGATAGACGTGTGTGTGTAGATAGAGGATAGCTGTACATTAGAAACTGATCACACAGTGAAACTTCTTGTCAAACAAATCTGATGAATTGACAAGCAAACTATAACTTACAGTGACTTACATCTCTTACATTACATTTGATCAGGCTTGTACCACAAAGGGTTTAATTATTTATGGAGAAAACATCATGGAAGACTCATAAGAACTAAAAACATCAGTCAAAGTGAGTAAGCTGCAGGGACTGTAGCCTAGCTAGTTAAAGGCAGCTGCTGAGACAGCCTTGGCTATAATTTCAGGAATTAGGAGAATGTGAAGGAAAGGAACATTGTTTTTTTACACTACTTGAACTAAAAGGACAATACAAGAAATTATGTCCTGTGGCGTTAATGACATCAGGTTGTGGTTGGGTTGGCAGCAGGGGTGAGCAATGAAAATGAAATTAAATCATGTTTCAAAACAAAGTGTTTTAAGTGGAAGGAAACAACGTTAGAAGCTTCCTTTCACTTCCTGGGGTGTCACCGTGAGGATGCGTGACTACTTAGAGTAGCAAAGCTAGAAAAAATGATTTGTCCTCTATAACCACTGCAAATACAGGACAATACTACCACACTACATGCTTATGAATGCTGTGTCAAGGATGTCAAATGACATAGTTGTTGTTGGGAACATAAGTAGCATGACACAGGATTCCTAAGCATGTAGTGTGGGTGCAGCTGAGTAGCTGACATGAAGGGAGCAAATGTTCCAGGATGGCACTATCTGTTGTTTTTTGTTTTTTTTGTTTTTTGATTTTCCACAATTTGTTTAATAGGCTCCATGAAGCCAAACTGACAAAAAAAAGTTGATCATACAAAGAACAAAAAGTACAAAACAGTTCCCGGTTTGAGATATATATAAGCTTTAGGGAAACAAAGTTACATTTCTCGATCACTTTAAACAAGATTAGTCCATTTTACAGCACATTAAAAATGCAGATGTTGAGCAGAGCACAGAAGATACCTTGGACAGACTGTAGCATGCTGCAATTTGCAACTTCATGAACAGCCGGCCACTTCGGATGTGTAGTTCACCAGTCTGAAAGGAATTCACTCTTTTGGGAAATTGAACAAACAGGAGCCTCAGTTAAACTAAGGGTTTTTTTCTCTTTTTTAATATTAATTTGAATTTAGCATCAAGTCTCCCAAAAGTCTGTTTATGAGCATATATCTTTCCTCTCAGTTTAAAACCTGGCAGGAGGTAGGTCAGTCAGAGACTGAGGGGGAAAATAAGGAACACAAACAAGCCCCAGATATTGCAATATATAAGAAAAGGAATCAAATCAGGAAGCACTTCAAGTGCTGGACAAAGTTTAGAGCAATGGTAGTGGCTGTTCAATGAAAAGCCACACTGAGAACTGTTTTGATCCCCAAAAATGGGACTTTACAGTATCAAATTACAGATTCCTTTTAGTTGCACGATCTTTGAGAAATGAGTCCAATTAAGCATGGTTAAGATTCTTTAACTGTAATTTGTAACAGGTTTTATAAGGAATGACCAAAACCCATTGCTACATTTTTCTTCTTTTTAAAGATGCTGAACTATTACAACAACACTATCTGTTGTTAATAAAAGCACCTCTGCTTTTTCCCGTGCACTTCTCGGTTTCTGCCTGAACCATCTGCAAGCCTCTGATGGTAACAGTGAGAGTACTGTCCTGTGGCTTTATCTCCCCTCCTCCATCTGTGTCTCTGATCTGGTCCTATCTCCTTTCTGTTATCGCCTCATTGTTTCTCTGCATGTGCTGTTTTCTGCAGAAATGGCTGCTATTTTCATTCTGGTCAGACGGCAACACGGGTGATTCAAAGTAATCAAAAAAGCACAAATCAGTTACTAAATCTTGGCTTGACCTGAGAGAAAAGGAGTTCCAGGTTAACCTAATCCCAGAACATGCTAACCACACAAAGTAAAGTTATTTACTCCAAATAGGGGGACATTTTATTGGCTGATGAGCTGTTTTACTCTACCTGTAACTGCTTGTAGAGGAGCAGCATCCAAACTGTACATACTTGAACAATTTTGAACTTTTGACTTTGGTAGCACATTGCAGTGCTTCGTTTAAGCTCTATTTTGATTAAGTGCACAAACTATGTGGGAGATAAAGCCATCATCCTATTGAAACTTTAGCTGTTCAGGAGTAACTACACAGAATTACACGAGAGGTAGCTGATGATCTGAGTAGTACCTACAAAATGGCAATGCACGTATTGTCAGAGTACCCCTTCACCCAAGATCATTGCTTTTGCTTGCATGGTTGTATTTGTGCTCTTGAAAACTATTTGATGAAAACACCAGTGCGGCTGGCTAATGAAGTAGGGCAGAATGAATATTGATTGATATTGATTGGCTGTGCAGACTGCTGCTGCTTTGCCATCCATAAAAATCTGGATGGCTCTCTCTCTCTCTCTCTCTCTCTCACACACACACACACACACACACACACACACACACACACACACACACACACACACACACACACACTGTGTGTTGTGTATGAACTGATCATACTGCAGAGGCCAGTGGTGATGGAGAGGGGGAGAGTATAGAGAAGGATATGAAGGAAACAGTGGTATGGCAGGAAACTGAGGAGGAAAACATGAAGGATGGAGACTTGTACAGGAGCGGGCGTTCTTGCATTGATGCATAAGTCGGCTCTACCCTTCTCTGGTCTGACTCATCTTCCACGCTGGTGCAGTCTGCCTGTGTGCATTTTCCAGCACACACACACACGTGCGTGCAGGCGCTGACACGTTAACAGAGGGAGCTCCGCCTCCTCTGCAGTGTAGCGACAGCTAGAGAGGGGCAGCAATGGAGGAGCCAGCAGTGCAGCAGGAAAAAATAGAGGGATCGTGGGAAGGAGGGCATGATGAAGGAAAAGCAGACTGGAAGAACGAATGCTCTCTCTCATCCCTCCTTAAACATTCCTGTCTACTTTGCTGGTCATCTCCCAGGGACGCCGACATCATGGAGACTGATGAGAGAATCCTTGCCAAGACGGCCGAGATCAGAGTAAGAAGACCACAGCACCTAGCACTGGTGTGTGTGTTTGAATCTGTGTGTCTGTGTGTGTCTGTGTTTTTTGTCGAAATCATGTTTTCTGTTATTTGTGAGATCATTTGGATAGTACCTATATCATTTTTATGAATGTGTGTGGCTGTAAGGTTTCCAGTTTGGGACCCTTCCATCACTGCATTTCCCATGATGCTCTCATGTGATGTCATGATGCTGTAGGACTAGTCTCACAAAGATGAAGCTGTAAACACACACGTGTTCAGCGCAAGTCTGGATTGCCAAACGTCCTGGTCCTTGAAATGTTCAGATTTTGGTGACTTCTCTATGAACTTTAAAAAAGGGGAAGTGTGTTCACACACAGGTAACATTTCTGGTGCCAGAACAAAAACCAACCAAGCAAAGGGAAAAGCTCTGTACAGTAACTTGGGCTGGTGTATTTTCGTAATTTTGTTTTTTCACCTGCACTTTGTGTGTGTGAATGTTTCATCATCCCAGCATTTATATCGTTCTGCAGATTTTAACTGTGTCTTTGTGTGTGATGTAGGAGCTGGAGAGCGCAGTGGCAGTGGAAAACTTGGAACTTCAGGAGCAGAGGTCAGACCGCAAAGAGCTGGAGGAGACCCTAGTTAAATTAGAGAAACACAAAGAGAAACTGATACAGCAAATAAAGGGAACCAGACAGCTCTGCTATGAAGAAAGTCAGCAGGTAATGATGCACAGTACTGCTGCTCTGGCAGCCTGTGCTCTGTATTTTTTCAGCATTCACGTGATGCGCAGCTGCATGAGTGGGTATCTCATCTCCTTGAAAACTACGGTCAGTTTGAGGGACGTTGATGTTAACTGTGGAGTTTTGAGAGGTGGGTGAAACTGTTGAGCGCACAGTGTAAGTGTCCAGAACCATGGCCAGAGAAGATGACTTTGAATAAGCCAAAGTTTTTCAAAATTCCAGACTGTGTCATGGTTCGGGGTTTGTGACACAGCTTTTTGAGTTTTCCTTTAGGTTTATGACGCTTTGCTTTATTAGTATGTTTTAGGGTTGAGTTCTGCTCCGCTAATATTTTGAGTTATTTTGTATTCATGTTTGCCGAGTCTCTCTTGTTCCTGTGTGTGTTCCTTCATCACGGCCCCTGTGTCAAGCCCCATGTCTTAGTCTGCATCTTGGTGTGTTTCTTGTTTTATTTTGACAGTCTCTTGTCCCATGTTCAGTGTGTTCAGTTTTGCTTCCCCCTTCTCGTCTGTTAGATTATGACCTGCTGTGTTCCCCAGGTCTCTCCTCTTTGCTGTGATTTCCCCTTTTGTATATATTATTTGTGTTTTACTCTGTCAGTCATTGTGATCTCTCTCTTGATGTGTGCCCTGTCTGTGTGGTAAATCACTGTACTGCTATGCCTGTTTAGTTTTTGTCAGTTAGCCTCCCTGGTTTTTTATTTCTCAGTAGATCCAACAATAAAACTAAGTTCAGTCCTGCCTGCATGTATGCACTTTGGGTCTGAAACTCTGCCTGTCTGAGACATAATCTACAGCAATATATGCAATATATGTTATTGCAGTACTATTGTTATGATATCGTAACATGGGGTGTCTGTTGATTTCCACCTCTTTTTATATATTTTTATATATACATATAAAAAATTCCCTTCACGCCCCTGCGGGCAGTCTATCATTCAAGCTCGGTCCTCTACCAGAGGCCTGGGAGCTTGAGGGTCCTGCACAGTGTCTTAGCTGTTCCAAGGACTGCGCTCTTCTGGACAGAGATCTCGGATGTTGTTCTGGGGATCTGCTGGAGCCACTCGCCTAGCTTGGGACTTGCTCCACCTAGTGCTCCCATTACCACGGGGACCACTGTTACCTTCACCCTCCACATCTTCTCGAGCTCTTCTCTGAGCCCTTGGTACTTCTCTAGCTCCTCGTGTTCCTTCTTCCTGATGTTGCTGTCATTTGGAGCCGCTACATCTATCACTACGGTGTCCGGTTGGTTAGCCACCACCGCTTTGTCCGTCTGTATCTGGAAGTCCCACAGGAGCTTAGCTCGGTCATTCTCCACCACCCTTGGGGGCGTCTCCCATTTTGACCTTGGGACTTCAAGGCCATATTCGGCACAGATGTTTCTGTATGAGTGAGTAGCTTGGTGAGTTTGTATCCTCTGCTGCTTCTCTTCAATGTGGGGTCCCACAGGGTTCAGTTTTAGGCACGCTTGTTTTTCTTCCTATATCTCCGACCTCTTGGCTCTATTTTCAGGAAACATGGTTATGCTGATGACTCCCAGATTTATTTCCCACTTAAAAAGATAAATGGCTTCTCAGTAGACCCTCTACTCAGATGCCTTGATGAAATAAGGGCCTGGATGACTTTGAACTTTTTACATTTTAATGAGCAGAAAACAGAAGCGATGGTTTTTGGTGGTGCTTCTGAGACCACTGCTATAAATCTTGGTTTGCTGGCACAGTATGTTAAAGCAGTCATCACTAATCTGGGAGTTAAAATGGAGGCAGATCTTAAACCTGAAAGCCAGGTCAGAGCTGTTGTAAGATCTAGCTTTTTTCATTTGAGGCAATTAGCCAAAATAAAGCCCATCTTATCAAAACAGCTTTTTGAGACAGTAATCCATGCCTTTGTTACATGTAGGTTGGATTATCGTAACACACTTTATTGTGGGGTTAGTGATGCATCCATTAGGCGTCTGCAGGTTGTGCAAAATGCTGCAGCACGTTTTTTAACTGGAACAAGCAAGTCTGAGCACATTACCCCCATTTTAGTTTCACTCCACTGGCTACCTGTACATTTTAGGATTGTTTTTAAAATTCTCTTATTTGCTTTTAAATCTCTTAATGGCC